GAGGCTAAAAGCGCTCTCCTTGCCAGGTGGAAATTAGACAAGCCCTTCCAGGAAGCAGAGGTCCGTCTCTGCTTCTTAAACCGTCTTAAACAATCTTAATTGGAACTCGAGCCCGGGCCCGGATGGCATTACAAACAAGACACTACGCAATTTAGACGATGACTCTGTCACCTACCTCACCAAAGAAATCAATCGTATTTGGGAGACGGGAACTTTCCCTGAGCACTGGAAAAGGGCGTCGGTTATTCTCATACCTAAACCTGGCCGGAGTCCCAGTTTTAGCAACTTACGACCCATTTCACTGACGTCCTGTATAGGCAAGGTCACCGAGCATGTCATCAACGATCGAATATCAAAACACATAGAGAAGACTAACCTGTTCCCGTACAACATGGTAGGTTTTAGACCACACCTGTCTACTCAGGACGTCATGAAAATGCTGAAGCATCACATTATAGATCAGGAGACGAAAGATGTTAGAGCTATTCTCGGTCTGGATCTTGAAAAGGGCTCCTAAGAAAAGGAGCCAACTTTCACAATTTCACCAGCTCGTTCCTCAGGAATAAAAAAGCCAATTTACAGCTTGGTATCTCAAGTTTGAGCCCTACGATCTTGGTTCCTTTGGCACCCCGCAGGGTTCAGTCGTCTCCCCACTGCTGTTTAACATTGCAATGTGCGGCCTTGCTGCCAAGCTCTCAAACCAAGAAGGCATCAAGTTCGCCATCTACGCGAACGACATCACCATATGGAGTGTCGGTGGCTCGGAGGGCTCTGTGGAGAGCTCTCTTCAAGAGGCGGTCGACTGTTTTGAAGTCTACATAAATGAAATGGGCCTCAAGCTCTCGCCAGCAAAGTCCGAACTTCTCTTATATCGATCCACGAGACGGGGACCCAAACCCAAAAACTGGCAACCACCGGCCGACATCGACATTAGGCTGCACAGGCATCGGGGCAGCTTATTCCAAGGATGGACTTCATACACAATCTGGGCATGATTATCGAAGCTAATGGACAGAACGGCCGCACGATCGACCGTCTGAATTCCAAGGCGGAAGGGGTCATCCGACTAATCTTACGCATTTCCAACAGTCGGGGTGGTCTTCGAGAGCACAACCTCCTCAGACTGTTCCATGCATTCTTGATGAGACACATAAGCTATGTCGCATCTATGCACCGGTGGCAACTCCATGAAAGAAATGAATTAAACATTCTCATAAAGAAAAGCACCAAGAAAGTTCTTGGCATTCCTATGCGCACAAGCACCGAGAACCTTATGAAACTTGGAGTTCACAACACGCTTTAAAAAGTTATCGAGGCCCAAGAAACGGCACAGGTTGCCAGACTTTTGATCACACCAGCGGGGAGAAAGATTCTGGTTGACACTGGAGTGAACCCCCTGACGCTCGAAGTGCAAAATACGCCGCTCGATGATTGCATACACACTCGAAATATGCACGAAATACACGAAATATGCATCCACAGTATGTGGGCAGGCGTTTCACTCGAGCCTCCTCACTTTTAGCTGAAGCTCACAAACACTCGTCTGTTTCATGCTTTGTTGATGCCACCCAGTACGGCCTTTCCGCTCGCTTTGCAGTATTATCCGTAGATACTAAGGGTCAGATTTTATCCTCGGCGTCGGTTTGAACCACTTCTTCTTACAAAGCAGAACAGATGGCCATTGCGCTAGCACTCCTTGATCCACGAAGGACTGATATTTATATGGACTCTAAATCCGCTGCTAGGGCCTTCGCTTCTGGTTCCGTGTGCAAGAAAGTTTTGAGAACTCTCGCTCAAAAGAAACTCACCCACCACACTATTATTTGGTTCCCTGCTCACCTTGGCTTGAGAGTCGGTGGCCTTCCCAATGTCAACGAGCTAGCCCACTCCAAGGCGCGAGGCCTCACTTACCGCGCCGGGTCTTGTGCTTCTCAGACAGAAGAGTCAGCCCCCAGCCTTCATTTTAGGGACATTTTGACTACCTTCAACGAGATCACGAAGCATTATCAATTAGTCCGTAGGTCCTTTCCATTGCCACACGAAAAGTTGTCTAGGCCACAGGCAATCTCTCTTCGCATGCTTCAGACGGGAACATACCCTAGCCTCGTAACCTATAGCCATTACTACGATATTTTAGAACTTTGTCCGGACTGCCGGAATCGCAGCGATTTTAACCACATGCTCTGGATGTGTCCCTCTTTACAAAGAAAAAATGAAGAATTTTCCGAAAACTCCTTTCATTTAATGCTCACGAGTCCGGTTCTCATACAACAACTCAAGGCTGTCCAGAAGGCCCACGATGCGGCGGTGAGGCTGGGCCTCCCGGTCTCAATGTGGGAGCGGCCCGCGATCCTACCCCTATAAAACGGGGGTAGAATCCTTCAGGACCCCAATAAAAGTTTTTCATCCATCCATCGATCCATTATTATTTTTGTTTGTGTGTTGGCCATACTTCTAGTCAAGTTGAGTGCAGTGATGGCACATGGTGGCATCTCGTGGTAACCGTGGTACTACTATGACACGAATCCATCATGCAGCACAAGAACACATGCGCACCTCTCGTGCTAAAAGCCTGGCCGGGGTTCTGTGAGCGCCTAGTGTGAACTGGCTCTGCCCAACATCAGCGCAACTGTTGTACGAGAGCCAAACCCAGGTAGTGCGTTTTGAAGCAGTTTCAATTAATGAAACACCAAACACCGTGGTCAAGGTATCTAGCTTTCAAAATGAATAGAAGAGAGCAAGGATGAACTCGCAAAGCTACCAGTGGTATTGGGAATGATATACATCAATAAGCATCGCCATAGCAGGCTTAGCACGGGAGAAAAGACCAACTCAGTCGTGAAGTGTTTGAAACAGCATGCATGTGCAACAATCTACATTCGGTGTAGAGTGCTGTCTCACAGGAATTTATGAGAAAACGAAACATTAAGCAGACAACTGCCAATCGAGACAGGATGTGAAAATATCACATACTATTTGGGTGTTTTTGAAGATCGAGACATAAGAAATATTGATTTGCCTTGTAAGAAAAATAGAAGTATTACTGAGGATGTTCTCCTATTCCCAAGATCTGCCAGTGCCCAAGCCAGTCCCACCTGGTGCATATCTGTCAATGTGAAACCAAGCAATCTTTAGCTGTTGTAGACACAACATTTTTACCTAATTCCCTACTATGTTCAGCGCAATACGATATGCTGCGAATGTCCACAGGTGCCTTCACAATGAGTCAGCAGTGATTTCTGTCTACTATTTCAAAAAAAATGTTGTAGGGCCTCTTTAATAATTTGCTATTATCTAAGAAACACTTTTGTGAAATGTAAAACTTCCTCCACAAAATTCCAACGTGGCTGCAGCTTTTAATTCATGTCTTTGAGCCTAGTCCCATCCTCAGCTGAAAGCACTTGACCATATTCAACCTCCTCCAATCCCTCCTTGACTTAGAACTAATAAAACAATGCAGGAGGAGCCAACTGTGTTCTGAGGATTTGAAACAATGACACTGGTTCCTATGTTATGCTGAATTCACGAAGAAAGTAATCGCTGTTGAAGAATTTTTTTTAACTGCCATCTGTCCCCACACTTCTACCTTTCTTTTGAATTGAATGTTAGTTTTGTAAGCATGAAGGAATATGGATAAGAAATAAAGTTGTAGTTATGTTGTAATGTCTAAGAAATTTAACTAGGCAATATATAAGACCAACTGGGTTCTTTGTATAATCAGCCTAACATGGTGTAGCGAAACATTTGCTTACTAATTGCTTCTAACACAGGAACAAATGTGGTCAGACCTCCTTTAATGATAATGCACACATGACGTCACAATGCTGGTGTTATGAAGAGTACCGGATCGAGGTGAGCAAATGCACTGCACTGTCTCTTGCTTCATTATGCTTGCAAAAATTTTGACATGACTTCCAAAAGTGAACAGTCAGGAAAATAGCAAATACGAATCAACTAGCCATATGATCTCACTTAGCCTCTGTACCTGTTGCAGCCTACATGCAAGACAGGGCTGACTAGAAGAAGAGATTGTGCGCATCCCTACTCTTCCTCTGACCACACCCTTTCACCTGTAGCATACTGCACAAGAAGAACAATAAGATTTTATTGTAGTAGGACTTGTTATGAAATATCGCAGCTACGGCCCATGGTGAATTTTTAGTTAGAAGCTTTCTGTACTTACAATAAGAAGAGAGTGTAAAATCACTCGGCTAGTCCCTGCAAAGAAACCTTCTTGCCCCTCCCTTTCTCTGGAAGGATACCTCAAGAATTCCTAACAGCACAATATCCGGACTGGGCATCCTGCATGACTGGGGTCATTGCCTATGATAAGAAACCTACAAAATGCTAGTTCTGCATAAGCTTTGAATTCACAATCATATAATGTAATTTTACTTCCTTTTTAGGCATAGGAATACTAAATGATTAAAATTCTGTCTCTCTATTCCTTAGTCAGAGAAGGCGAAATTCTGTTTCAAAAAGCGTAAGTGTACTGGCAGTACTGATGCTGGCAAAATAGTGACAGCACTGAAGGAACACTGCAAAATTTCAAACCTTAGGTTGTGTATTTGTTTTACCCAGTGCTATGGGCCAGCCAATTCCCATAAATATGAAGAGGTAGATTTCACATGTACAGCTTACTGTGCTTATGAGCATATACAAATATGCAGGGCACATTATTGTGAAATGAAACAAAGGATTTTTTACTATCCACTGTTAGTGCTCCCGTAATATCTCGTGATGATTAGTTACAAAAACAGATTTTTGGGTGGCTAGCTCAATGCTAACAAGAATGCACATTGGCGAGCTTGACAAGCTGCCCCCATTATGTCATGCCAGCAGCAGTTTAATTGCCAACGGAAGATGTGCAGACTCATTTTAAGCATTTTGGTGTCATTACATCTACTTAATCAGACTTGCACCGCCAATCCCATATGCCACTGTTTGGTGAAGCTGGTTCAAAGGTGTATGAGTGGACTCACTGGGAACCTTAACACAAAGCCAATTTCAATGTTTTTAATACAATAAAAGAAGTTTTCAGGAGTAGCTAATTCAACAAAATAACAAAAACGACTAATATATAATAATCAAGCTCAAGCACCATTTCACTAGCCTATATAGCATGAGCAACCGGCACACATAGGATAAGAAGGGAAACAAGTTAGTGTTTATCTTGTTTCCCATTTCTATTCACGCTGTTCCGTTATGGTAGTTCACCTACTTGCTGAAATTTTCATCTTATTTGAAGCTTTCACCGTTTCTTTCTTTACAGATTTACTTTGCATAACTAGAAATAAAGATGACTAGTCAATCCAACTGCATTATTGTGGAACTGTGTTTCGGCCATTGTAGACTAGACAAACTTTTTTTTTTTTCACGGGGCTGTTAAAGAGAAAGATTGCAACAAATGCAAATATGTAGCTTGATCACTGGAAAATAGAGTAAATGGTTTAGTGGCACAAGAGATGGTTTGCATTCTCAGTACACTTATTTAAGCCCTCCAACTAAACTTGGAAGGTTTTCCACTAAGCAGTGATTCTACCCTAAGGTCTCATAGACAGAGCACATTACACTGCTACAGCTGCATCTTTTGGGTAGGTGAAAACTGATGGTGTAATAAAGAGCATATACAGTAAAATCTTCATTTTTTCAATGAGATATATTAAGTTTGCTTATGTTGCAGTGATCACCTAATTCTCAAAACCAAAGGTTTCACTAAATGAACGTGAATAACTACTTTACAACATTCTCTCAATGAATACAACCTTCATACGTACAGCTACAAAGTAAGCCCTCTTAATTGCACTTTTTCCCCTCACAAAACGAAGGTACACTGAAAGATGTGCTGCAAACACAACATAAAGTAATAAAATACCAAAGCTTGTGCACAATACTTTTTCCCAAGGCACCAGAGTAGCGCATATTCTTAAACACAGCCATCGATTTATACCTAAACTTTGTGCCCAGCTATCAGAGACGAAGTAGTGCTACTCTGGTTTATACAGGAACAATAACAGTTTTCTTCAGATATTATCTAAGCTGTGAACACTACATTAAAAAGTACTTTTACAGCACTATCCTCTAATGCACCACAGCCTTCTATATGAGATAGAAAAGCTTAGCTGCTTCTCAGTGGACTATGAAAGTTACTGCAAACATAACATGACAAAAGACCAAACTAGCAACAGGCTAGTAAGAGATGCTAGAAAATGAGGCAAAATAAATGTCACCCTGAGGTATGCTTTGTGTGCATATGTCATAAAAGCTATGAAAGAAAAATAAAAGGGAATGGCATGACTAAGTGCAACAATAAGCGGTTTGACAGCGATTCAACCAGCCAAGTAATTATGTGCAGTCAGACTACTGCTGATATGGTTAAATTCACTTTGCAGGACATTATGATGATTTCTAACCATACTTGCAACAAAATTTGCACTAGTGTGGCCTGCCACTCCATATGTGAAATTAAGGTGACCGCAACATTAGAGATTACTCAACACAAAGATATGTCGCATGTGTTCAAAATGGTAGACCAACTCCTCTTCATTGCCAAGGCAAAACAAATACAGTGATTTTAAGGGAGCCTCTGTCTAACTGTACTGGCTGAGATTCTTCGGGCGGGACACACACAAGCTTTGTGAAATCACATATTTTAGCTCATTAGCAATCAGAAACCAAGTCTGATTGACAGAACCTTAACACAATAACTTTCTTTAATATTATATAGTGAACTGATTTTGAAAGTATGAAAATAAAACAAGTTGGCTGTAAAAGTTATTGCTTACTAAGCACTAACATTGGTAAACGTTCAAATCTTTAAAATAACTGAACCAGCATAACTAATGAACCATTTGTGGAATGTCTAAAAACATATATGTGTCAGTCAAGTTTCCCAACAATGCTGTAAATACATTGGTTATTATAAAATGAGCTACCCAAACATGCTTACGGTATTATATCAAAGAAGGAGCTGTCCTGCCTTTTTCCAGTGCGTTAAAACTTTATAAGCATGGAAAATTGCTAGTTATTCACCTATTGCACATAAACCATGGTTTGCAAGAGAAAAGTGATAAATTTTAGTTATTTTTTGTCATAGAGCTTTAGCATTACCGAAAGTACTGATAAATAGGAAGAGACAAAATAAAAGTGTACAGCATGACACAAAAATAAAATATTAACAGGATTGTGCCCTTTGTATAAACAGAATCAGTGAGTACCTTTTAAACAATGAAGTGCTGTTCATTGGCCCTAAAAAAAAAAACACAGCAACCCTACAAGCAACTTTCAACCACTACCACCCAACTCACAAGTCACATGTGTAGACAGCTGAATAACGATCACATTTCAACTGCAAAAGTCCACTTCTTACTTCGCAGGATACAAGGTGGAAAGGTTGTTCATGTTGTGGAAATGATCTCTCGATATGTTTTTGCACAAGCAAGAAAAAAAAATTTCATACCAAAAAAGAGGCTTGCATGTAGATGCCAACAAAAATCTGTATTTTAACCAACATAATAAGCCACAAGCACTTGCCCCTGCTAACAGTTTCCTTTGTCACCTAAGAGAGTTCAGTGGTTGTTTATACGAACCCCGCATGTAGAACTAAGGTAACCTGGTTTAGAAAAACAAACAGTGAAGTCATCCCTTGGGATCAAATTGATGAACAATAGCTGTGAAGTTAAGGCATTTCATCAACACAAGTGCACATAAGATGTGCTTCAGCTCCTTTCGGCTTGTACACTAATAGGTTCCTTCATAACACTAAAAAGAGAGTGATAAGTTAGAACATGCTATAGAGCGCCACATGTGGATCATTAGAAACAACTTCCAATAAAAAAAAAAGCAGCAAATGAGCAGAGTAGCATTAAGGATTCTTGCAGCATGATCTTAAGAGCAACTTTTGGCAGTGCATTTATTACCCTTTCCAATGGCTAAAGCCTATTTTGACTTTGATCCGAATACCAAAGAGGCTACTTTAGGGCTTCCACTGTGTAACAGCAGCTTACCAGAGCTGAATACAGCTGGGCTAGTGAAATTTCCTTTGCAGAATAACAGCAACATAAAAAAAAATAGGTTCCTCAGCATAAATAAAGACTAAACACAACAAGTCACCTAGCAAACATGGCAGCGATGCTTGACCACAGTGTATGAAGGAGAGCTTAAACAGGACTCGAGTGTCAGGGACAAACAGCACCCACTTGTGTGTCAAGGCTCGTAGGAGGAGGCAGGAAGATGGGAAGAAAAGGAAGAAAGACGGGTTAAGCTTGTGGCATTTTCCCACTCAAGCCAGGGTGAACATTACCGCCTGTCAGTCAGCTTCATCTATCTCAGAAAAAAGAGAGCGCACATCCAGCACTTCTGCGAGCTCCAAAATAGTGCGTTGCAGGGCTGGATGGTCCAAGACCTCACTCTCAGGGATTGGCGGGTGCGACCGAGGCAGGTAGTTGGACCCCTTCAAGAGAAAAAAAAAAAAAATTAATCTTTTTGAAATACTCGCACAAACAACTCATCCACAGCAGTTGTGACAGGCACATATATATCAATGCTGCATTAGTACACACTACTTCCTTACTGCCATGTATGGAAACACTTTTATTACAATATGTGGAGGAAAAATTTCTCAGTCAATTCTGTCTCAGTTTATTCTGGTTGCTATCACATTTATCAATTTTGCTAACTTACTTTTTTTTTAAATATATGTGAAGAAACATTCTTTTAGGATTTATAGATTATCTAACTTCACTATCTTTGTGACAGATGAACTGACTTGGCAGCGGGTACTACAATAGTAATAATCGGGAGCTGTGAAAACACAGAAAAAATTGTGCCCAAGATTATAAAGTATGTCACTTTATACTACTGCTCTTAAACCTTCTTCGGGCTTCTTTTCCTTTTAGATTCTCAACATCACAAAATGGTACACTTAATTTCCTTTATTATGACAGCATTCCAAACTTGCACAGGATTGCAAAGACAAAAAGATGGTAGTATTGCAAAAGAAGCAGTAGCTAATAAATTCAGAAAAAAAACAAACATTTTAGCATGTGATAAGAACTTCAATTTCCTACAATAGTATCATGACTTCTTGGTATATAGCTGGGGCAGCTTGTTAAAACTTAGCATGATTTTACGAGTTCAGCATATTGCTAGTGACATTGAGCTGCTGACTCCTCGTCACACCATGAGTATATTAATGGCAGCAAGACCTATTAGCAATCAATTATAAAATATGATTGATTACCTTAACTGATAAATAATAAAAGTAAGCCTAAATATGAATATGCTCAAGACAAGATAATGCTCAGTAATATGGAAGAATGAATGATAACAAAATGGATTCGGGAACAAAAAGGTGTATATATTCTAGTTGACATCAAGCGAAAGGAGCAGACCTGGGCCAGCCATGTATCGCATAGGACAGACAACTGATAGTTATGTCAATGAACCGCTATACAGATGAATTGGAGACTCAAAATTGATAAGTTTACAGGGATAATATGAAATCAGCTTGCACAAGATAGGGCAAATTGGACATCACTGGGAAAGACTTTTGACAATGATGATAGCGATTCCTTTAATTAAGTTAAAAAAATTCCCTTAGGCTCATCTATAGCCACGTTCATTAGATGCCCTGCCTAAGAAAACAAAGCAAAGCTGTCCATTGTCTCTGCAACTAAGAAAAATAGTCCCACTTCCGTACTCAGCAATGGTAGGGTCACCATTTCTCCAATGGTGGGGTCACCGGCAGTGTGGCTGATGAAGTCACTCTAGACAGTATTCACTGGTGCAAACCTGAGCGCATCCAGCTCAATCTGGAAATGCTGCTGCTGCCTTTTAATGTTATAACGGACTGTACGTGTTTCCCTAGGGCTTCCAAAATACCATATGATGATCATGTGCATGAGGTGCCTTGTTCATTTTCGTTTCAGTTTTAGGGCCTTTGCACTGAAAATTAAGCCCCATAATTTTAGCAACATCAGTCTTATGGACCAAAAATAAAGGAGCAACTACCTATCATGAAAGCCCAGTAAATAGTTGATAGCTGGCTTAAACCACTGCCAGATATTTCAACTCTATGAATGCAATGTACATAAGCAATAGGAACACTTGTGCCCAGTATGAGAAAAGAGCAGAAAAAGGTGCGAAGCAACGAAACAACATGAGGCCACGACCAAAATTATGTCTCGCAAAGAAACAGCACATTTCTCATTTAAGAAGCACGGACACAAAAATTGTGCATGATGTTTTTTTTTTGTTGTTGTTTTCACTGTTGTTGCAATAACTAGCTCATGACCCCTTGATAATGACTGAAACCTCGCTTTGTCAAGTGCATGATGGTTAGTTATTTTGGGGCATATTTGTAGCAGCGGTTGTAGTTTCGGTTTCAGGGTCAGCCGTGAGAGGCAGAACCAGTTTTTGTTGTTGTGAGCACAGCTGGCCACTTGACTTCACAAAACACAAAACAAGCGCCATGCACGGCAACACATGCCCATGAGCGCTACATTGACAGCTGTTGCAGCGAGTGCACGCAAAGCACTTGGTAGCCAACACAAACTCATGTCTCAGGTGGTTGTTTAAATCACAACCAAGCTGATATTGATATCCCAAGGTGCTTCATTTTGCACCTTCCAGAGAGATCATTAACTTGTAAATGCTTACATGTGCTGCTCGAGTCATACACATAACTGAAGGTAGCACAGCTGCTGTTGTTAGAAAGTGTAGTGATCATGCAATAACCATTGCAGGTAGCCACAATGTCATCCTTTTCATAGCGCCTCCCCACTGCCCCCAAAGCTTCACACTTAGCCAAGGCTACTCTCTTCAACCTGAGAATTCAACTAATGCCATACACTTCAACTAGCCACTCCTCTCCTATCCTTTTGAGCAGCCCAAAATTTGCCCTAGTCAGACTGACAGTGCTCAAGTGCCACCACGGGTTTCAACATACTAACTAAACTACTGCCATTTCTGCCTCTTTAGTACTGTAATTTCATGGAAACCACTACCACTGTCATTCTTACAATGCAATCCTTAGCCATTTCAGTGCTCTATGTTGAGATGTCTGCTGTTAACACTTCCTGTGCGCATTGGGGCCGGGTCTGCAATAGTATATGAACACAAACTCTAAAACTGCCACATTCTTAATAATAATAATTCCTGGGGTTCCATATGACAAAACCACATGATTATGTGGCATGCCCTGTGGGACTCTTGATTGATTTGAACCAGCCAAGATTGTTTAACATGCACCTAAATTCAACTACACAACTTGTTCTGAAATTTTATCCCTGTTCCCTGTCCCCTTCAATTGCGACCAACCATCATGCCCCGAGTTGTTTGTTCTCCTTAAAGGATCTCACAAGGGTCCCGCAACACTTTTTTCAGGTCCCTATATTTCGTTTATATCTATTGAAGAAGTAAAAGAATACAAAGCAAGAAAAATTACGATAATTATTGCCCACAAAGTTGCCAGGAGAATTTCAAAATATATGCAAAATGAGTAACCCTCAACTCAAGTTCTTGTTTATTATGTAACACTTCACACTGATACACCTCAGGGCACCTCCTATATGCCACCGTAGGTCACCCGACAACTGCTTTGGATGGAGTAACCAAAAATGCTAGTGTGGCTTTATATTTTTAGTGTCGAGAAGAGCTCATGTACCCCAGAAATTTCGGTGCGTGGAGAATGTAGGAAGCAACTTGTAGTTGGTCTATGAATAAATATGGCTTACTTTCTCAAAAATTCACCAACTTCTTTATAGCTTTGCACCACAAAGGGATGAATGCTCATTTTCCTTCTCGCTTATTTTTCCTGCTTTGAGTTAATGATTCATTTGCCTTGGAGGTGCCATCTGCTAGCTTCCTGGTTAGTTAAAATGACAGTCAAAAGAAAGATGTGCTGCCCAGCTGTAGTTTCCACTGCTTCAATAAGAGTCGAGCAAGCAGATACTTAAAAAAAACACCTGTTTGAAAGCCTAGCCTTCTTGCACTCCTAAAATGACAAGGCAGCACCGCTCGTCAGCATAGAAACTAGCCAGTGATGTCATCTTAAGACATATGAAATTTTAATCACATTATTAAGCTCTGTTTGCACTAAAATAATACATTTATATGAAAGCTAGGAAGTATATAGGAATAATACAGCAATTTTTCAGCTCACAGTACTGCTCAAAGCCCAACAGCCCTCTGTTTTAACTACAGTGAAGGAATATTGAGAGGTGTCTGACTGGCACCCTCCCCGGCATACCAATACTACGTGCACTTCAACCAGTTTCTGACAGATGGCACTTTCATCTGGGGGTTATCGGTTCAGTGTGATAAATGTGGCAAACAAGGTTTATTCTTGTTTTGCATAGCGATAAAACAATACGTGAATGGATTAGCGTGCCGTGTACTTGGCCTTTCGTCGTCTTTTAGGACAGAAAGCAACAAATGATTACTTCTCCCGACACTAATCATACGCGGTCGTGCAGAGTGGGACAAAGCAATTTTGGCTCATCACAGGTTCACAGAATGATTCATGCCACAACAAACTATGAAAAAGCAACAAAAGTGCACCAACACAAACACAGAAATACTCGCAACTGCATGCGATATGCGAGGACAATGGTCTCTGAACATACAGCACCACCCTTCGGAGGATGGTCGAAAAATGTAGTCAACGCGTTCTCAGCATGGTGAAATGCCGCCGTAGAGAGACCTTTCAGATTCCTCCAATGTGGTTCTAAGACAAGACGTTACAGCTCAGGCATGCTGGCCATTCTGCCATTGCAAGGTTTTTGTACGTGACGTCATTGTGGTGCGAACATCGAAGTGGTATGACGCTATGAAATTGTCAACTATGGCTCAGTAGGCATCGATGTGTCATGTTTTTTCGATGACAAATTTTTGACTGGCTGGCCAAGACGTGAGCAGCAAAGTTGAGGGAAATGTACACTGGGAAATCAAAATTGTGCTTTCATAACTAATAAATCAACTGGGATGATAAAACAAATCAATGCATATTATCGATTCAATGGCTAGGAATATAAATGCACATGTCGTTCAAAATTTTCTTAAAATGTTTCAAAACCCCCAGGGCCATGACACCCGATTCTTGATCATAATCCTACTGCATTCACAAATAAGCTGGCGAAATTTGGTCGAACACTTAATTTATAATTTAACATTTTTATAAACATGCGAGCGACCTGAGAGTCTGACAACACTGACGCATTCGCAAGAAGTGACGTAGTGAGCAGCTTGCTACATGAGCACCTGCCTTCCAGTAAAGAAAAATGTACAATGGTCAGCTACGCGAGAAATCCAGATATTTTAGCTTTCTTCTGCCTGACATAAAATGCACAATTGGGAGCAGTTGAAAGTGTGGTAGATGATGGCTCCACTTTTTGCTGCAGATGACATAGCATGTGCCATGGCTAAATGGTGGTCACTGGTGGTGGGCAGGCTGTACAGCTGGCACATCTAGGGTCCGTTTTGCACTGTAATATTTAAAGGCCAACTCTTCATATCTGTACAGGGAAAACAGACCTCCTACTTCTTGTTATTGTTAAAAACTACAAATTGTTGGGTGCTGGTCCCCTGTTTGAAATGAAAAGGTGCTGGTCCCCTGTTTGAGCCTCACACTAAAACGAATTTTTTATCAACTTGGAAGCTTTGTTTCTTATAGATCTGTACGAGTTTCCTAGTAGCGTTGTTATGCAAACAGGTGGCTGACAGTTTTCTTTTCATGAAATTATATAACAATGCACCTTTAGGCCCTATACCAGCACATACTTTCTGCATATGGGAAGTGTTTTTTTTTTTTAAATTCAATACGATCTTCTCAACCAAATTTAATAAAACTATGCGGCTTTGTTTAGTTTTCTCCATTAATTACAAACATGCAATTGTTTTTAAAATATGTCAAGTAGTTTCAAAGTTAGCTAAAAATGAATTAGCACTATTTATGCAAACAATAGCACAAAAACTATTTATTGAAACCCTGCATCAGACACATAGCTGAATATTAAGAACCATAAAAATCAGAGTGGTAGGAATGCTTCTTTTGATATGATAGCTATTAACAATTATACAACAGACCAAAATGTTATGTTCCGAATATGGTGAATTTTGGTATTGTTTAATGAAATGACAATAAAAGAATATCAAAGCTGAAATACAAGAACCTGATCTTATCATTGTGGGCACTGTTCATGAAATGTCAAACTCAATTTAATGAAGTGATGACAGTGCATAAATTATTTAGTCCAATTTGGGAAAATAATTTTTCGGCCCTTTTAAATCTAAAATTGTAATGCAGCAACACCTGAGATGTACCACAGCATTAGAGAGTTTTAGAATACCATACGCGAAGCTTGTGGCATGGCTCTGTGGGCATCACTTGAACAAAGCCTGCGAGAAATTAGCGTATGGTGCGTGCACAATGCAAACGCGTAGCTTTGTGTATGCTGTTAGAAGCCCCATGTATGGGCAATGAAGGCTAAGTAGACGACCATGTAAAGCTATAATAGGCTACCAATATGCAAAGATGCAGTGAACAAATGCAATGATTGTGCAAGAAGTCTGAATGAGAAAATTTTGAGTAGAGGACCTGCGCAATCAGCCATTTAAACCAATGCCTCCTTTATTTTATCCAATGCCAGTGCAAGCAAACGTGCGCGCTTCAACAGAAGCTGTCGGTCCGCTTTAGTTCAGAGTGTGGTTGTGATGCAACACCACACGAGGGGTAGGGCTGCTTGCATCACATGTGCGTCTGAGCGCTTTCCCATGGAGACGAGATAGATGTGTGTCCCTCTCAAATATCACACATCTGTCAGATTTGTTCCTTCATGCTCCTTCTTTGTGGCTCAAAGCAATACTGCCACCACCTCACAGCGCTAGTAATGCAGCAGCGTCGCAGTGACACGTCCCCATCAGTTGCCTGCATAGCACTATGAACGGCAACATGCTATCTCAAAACACCGTATCTTTTACAGAGCCAGTGTAACCGTCAACATTGTGAACACGAGGATTGCAAGATGCCGTCCCACGGATCTGTACACAACTGAACAAAAAATTACTTCATATTATTTTCATCGTGAGGCACTACATGATGGGTTTTCTTCCCCATGACCGCAAAGTACATGCGAAAGCTAGGCAATGGGTGAGAGCAGGAAAGGGCTAGAGGAGAGGGTAGCGAATGGCTGAATTTAGCGCATCTGGCTGGCACTGATAAAACAGAGGACGCGCTGCTTAAACCATTAAGTAACGAAAGCAACCACTGATGCCCCTAGTATAAAAGAGCTATTGAAAACTAAGTTCATTGTCCCGAACATAAGTTTGGCAAGCAGCCTCGTCTCAATAATACTGGGGCTGTGGTTAGACAGCCTGGACCTTTTAACACGATAGCATTACAGTACATGCTAAAAAAATTCTGTTAGAACTAGAAGAAAATCACATTTTCATTACTGAATCTTAAATTTTGTTAAATTGGGTATGGTGGCAAAGTTAGTTCATCTGAAATAATAACAACACTGAACCCTATGGAGATTAGCCGGGGAATGGAAATTTCTTCGTTAGATTGGGAACTTCTCAAAACCAGGTATCATTACATCCAATTTTTTCTTCATGCAGCTCGCTATTACAATAATAATTACTATTATAGGTGCTCTGATTACAGAGAAATTGCTCCCTGAACCTTGCAATGAGTTGAAAATTCAGGTTTTAAGAAAACACAGGAAAAGAAAAAGCTAATTTGGAAGTGCATGTAACACAAGATATGAAAATATTTTTGATAGATGATTAGTAGCCACCATAGTTATAACCTGCAAGCTTACTGCTACTCCATACATTCCTCAGCAGCAACATAGTATAAAAGAACCCATTCTTTATGCTCTTTATTTCATTCAGTATATAGCTTATCTTGGTGATATAAATTGGCCGAAATACTAATCCAAGGTGTGAGAAACTAGGTCAGAACTTGTGCTATTGCCTGCATGTTACAAAAAGGTGATGTTCGGAAAATTGATCTTTTCCGTTATTTTTTATGTCAAAGACAAGTGTACCCTTTTAACAATGCATTCAATAAATATTACAATAACACAGATTATGCCTCACAACCTGAATATATCTAATCATTAGTCATGGCACTCAGCTGCCCATAATGCTTTTGTACTGTAAAATATATTTGCCTCAACCAGAATAAAATTAAAAAAATTAAGCCATTACAATAATTTTCCAGTTTTTAACATTGTACAAGGTGCTTGTAAACACTGGAACAATAAATACTTTGTCACACTAATGTGAACTCAAATCTGCATCCTACTTATAGTAACGGAAATGATAGCTGCTAAAGCAAAGATAAAGGCATGATCATACACTTGCGCCCACAAAAACTCAAGTTGCATCATGCCCAGTGACAAGGCTTGCTGAGATGTCTTTTGATCTGTTGTTAATACTGTGCCCATACCCATGATCCTGTGTTACAAAAAAAGAAAGCACCACAACACTATGTACGTGTACATCCACTGTGTTTATCTGCCCATACCAAACAAAGATATTTAATTGTTGCATGTGTACAATCACCCTTTTGAGTTTCACCAGCACTCATACAGCATGATCACACAAGCCAACGCACAGTACTGTTATGAACAATTGTTGATACTGCAGTCAAATCACCAGAATCACATAGATTTTTTAGGCTAGAATAAAAGAAAGAAAAGCAAATGGAGCACAAACAGATCAGCCTGTCTAAGTTCGCAGACTACTTTCTGAACTTCATCAATTTACAGACAGAGGACATGGCAAAGTAGAACATGCATCGGCTTCACAATGCCTAAGAAAGAAAATTGATTCACAGTGAGAAAGCAAGGCATGCCTCAGGATAAAATGAAATTAAAAGGTGCAGAGAAGAAATAACAACTGCAACAGCCCAGGCCAGACAAGCAGGAGGCGGAACGTAAGAGAAAAGCGCAAATACCGGCAGGCTCTGGTAGGGAGGCGTGCCCATGGCTGCCTGAGGCATCCTCTGATACAAGTTCTCTGGGTCCCCCACCGAATACTTAATCTATGATGAAAGAAACAAGAACCAGATTCGACGAATTCCACAGCAACCAAAGAACATGAGCCAATAATAAAGTGCAAAGTGCAAAGATCACCTAAATAATGAAATACTGTCAGCCGTAGTAATAGAAACATATACAAAGTAGGCACTGCAAGTAGAGACTACTGTAAAACTTTACAAGGTTACTTTTAGACACAAACAAAAAGTAAACAGTGGAAAATTCAGTGGGCAGATAGCAGTCTATGCAACAAATGTGACTAACCAGTCCTAAAAACCACAATATGTGCTGATACTGGGGGGAACAGCACAAAAAACGGGACGAAGAAAGACTGAACACACGACACAAGTGCTGTGTGATGTGTTCATTCTTTCTCTGTCCCGTTTTTTTTTTTTCACTGTTCCCCTCAGTATCTTGTGCAAAACTGGCCCTTCAAGACATCCTTCCACCAAATGTGCACGTTTCAGTGAATGCATTCACATGTTTAAAGTTGAAAAAGTGCATGTGCTATTTGCTGTGCAACAGTGTCGAGTAAAGAAAGAAAAAGAAACCATTGACAGTAAAACTTCTTGCAAAGTGAAGACGATCAGGCTGCAGAGGAAGTGCCAAACTAAGAAATAGTGAGCAAACTGCGTTTGTCAAGACTGCAATGAGGAGACTCCAGCGCTGGTATGAAGCATTAACCTAAGAACAAAAGATACTAAGAAGATCAAATTTGAGAATACAACAGAGTTGGGAAGCCACTAAATTATGAAAACCTGTCCAATATAGTAGTACAACCCAATAACAAAAAAACTGCCGTCTATCATTTTTACCTAAGCAAACCTTCAATAATGCCTTCCATAAAACTTCTACAAACATATAGGGGCATGATTTTCCTTCCACTTAGTTAAATAATGCCTTCCATAAAACTTCTACAAACATATAGGGGCATGATTTTCCTTCCACTTAGTTATAAAGATATCACAATTGATTGAACAATTCACACGAACATTTAGACAAAATTATGTCCTTATCCTCGCTGAAAATGTTTAAAATGTCTGCCTAATTAAAAAAAACTAGGTATTGCATCTGATAACTTCAAGTAACCCAACAGCAGTCTTTTTAACAGTACAAAATCATATAGTAATAGTGAAACACATTTCGGGAAGCAACTGCAGTAAGTTCAGCGCATGTCAGATTATAACAATACCCCGTTCATTTCTTCATTTAATATGAGAAAATTTTTAAATAACAGAATTCCCAAAGGCAACATTTGGTTGGTGCACCTGATATGTCACATCACCCACACTGTCAGATTCGTTTTGATTTATATACTGAGGAACTTGAAAATTAACACTGTGAAATGGCTGATCACTGTTAGCAACAGGTGGCTGTATATAATGCATTGTTCTAGCATTAATAGAAAATATTCTTAAAATAAAACGCAGATTCTTTAGTCCTTGAGAAATGCTTTCTGCTCAGCTCCAGAAGGAGGATTCAATAAAGAAGTAAAAAGATTAAAAAATTAGGCAGATCCCACATACCACGAGAATCAATGTTGTGAGAAGCATGAGACGGGTAGGGGACTGTGGTGTAAATGCACGCATATACCTGTGCTGAACACTGTCATATCTTTAGGTAACCAGCAGTTTACAGTTGCATAACAATGCCAACAACAATATAGCTATTACCACCACTAGAAACGGTAACACGATATGTCACGCTGGCACTTGCGAGGATGGTAGCCATGGTTTGTAATGCGTAGACCGATTTCAAGAAGTGGCGCTTAAGTATACCATTGACGTAGACCTGACATGATGCCTGCATCATACGAGTACATATATAATGTTTATAAGATGAGATAGCCAGCACTGTGACTGCAAGTGACATTTCACAAACTATATGCCTTCATAGGTTCTTTTTCCAAAGGAGTTTTGAGACCTGTTATGGCTCTGTGGCTGAATATAATTGGTTGCCAATCAGAATGTTTGGGTTCGATTTTTTCTGGAAGCCTCATATTTATTTTTTGCATTTGCCGGGCCATTGAGGTTGATGTCAGTTTTTCTTGATGCTCTCACATTCAGATTTGCAATGCATGTTCTCACCATCACTGGGGAAATATAAACTGTCAACCACCTGTGGTGTATACCTGTGTACCATGGCTCATGGTATACAGGCATGTGCCACACGTGTTTGCAAGGAAGCATTAAATGACATGCGCAACGAGATTTTCATGCTATTTATCCGATGACAAGACAGACATATTCGTCAAACCCTCCTTAACCTCCCATACTACTTTCGGCCTACCCTATGATGAGGAGGCGAAGAGCACCTAGACGTAGGCGGCTAGCTAGCAACCTAAATACATGCAGCTAGCTAGTTAATTACATATAAGTACATCATTCCCTGTATGTTTAAAACGTGCACCTCTTTCGATCAGTTCTCTAGCTTGGTATGTGCTGCCACACTTTAGAAATACGTAGAATAACCTTAACATAAGATAACTTTATTTTCCTTAAAGACCCCTCCAGGGGGTATTACATAAAGGGTAAGTTAACATATAAATTTTTTTTCATAGGCAAAAATGGGCACGTAATTGATCAAAAAATGATTATGGGGCATTTCGCTTCGAACGCTCGCCGCGTCGTGCGGCTTCGGCGTGCTCGAGAATGATATGATCCGCCATCAGCTTTTCACCGGGGTAGCCTCGCAAAACGTTCGCTGCCGCATGCTTCAAAAGGGCTCCTCGATTTCATTATCCGAAGCCCTCTCGATTGCGCGAGAGGACGAGCTTATTCGCTCCCAGTTGGAGCAATTCCCTGCGCATTCAGTGCAGCAACTTTCTGCTGCGGGGGGTCCAAGGCGGCGACTTTTTGTTTCACGGGACGCGTCAACATGGCGGCCCTTCATCTTCGTCTCGGCGCGGCGGCGTTCGAAGAGAAGTAATGAACTCGGCGACTGGCTCGCCAGGCAATTGATTTAGTGGTGACATCATGGGGAAGGTCATTCCAGTCTTTTGCTCTTTGTACAAAGAAGGACATAGAAAATGTGGTCGTCTTAATGCGTGGCCGAGCAACTTTAAGTATATGACAAGTGCGGTGAGATATGAGGGCCAGTGGACAATGAAAAACTTATGAAAAAGGCTGAGACTAGAGATGCGGCAGTGGATGTCAAGGCTAGAAATAAACGATTCTTTTTTGAGCGATGATACACTGGTATTGTATGATTACGAAGAATGAATGAATATGATGGCACAGCTCTGAACTGCCTCGAGTGAGTAGATCAGATTGCCTTGATGTGGGCTCCAGACTGCAAATGCGTATTCTAATTTGGACCAGATAAGGGACTTGTAGGCTTGTAGCTTGACATATTTAGGTGCGTGCCGGAGGTGACGTTTCAGTACACCCAGGGATTTGTTCGCTGATAATACGATGTTAGAAATGTGCGTGCACCAGTTCAGATCATTACATATGGTGACACCGAGATACTTGTATGGCTACACGTGTTCAAGGGTAACGCTAGCAATTACACAAGTGAACAGGAAGGGGTTGTGGCGGTAGTGAAATGAAACGGTCTTGCACTTGTTGGGAATAAGTTTCATCAGCCGCAGGTCACACCATTCTTGAACGTGGTTTAGGTCATCTTGGGACGCGGTTTGATCGGTGGGGTTGGTGATCGAGCGGTATATTATGCAATCATCGGCGAACAAACGGATACAAGAGGAGACGCACGAAGCTAGGTCGTTTATGTAAATCCGAAAGAGAAGGGGCCCGAGAACGGAGCCTTGGGGGACACCTGACACTACTGGAATGGCACTAGAGTGCACTTCATCCACAGAGGCAGATTGCGAGCGGTTAGTTAGAAATTCCTCAATCCAATTTACTATGTCAGGATGTATACTTAAAGATCTAAGTTTCATTACAAGCCGCCTATGAGGCGCCGTGTCGAACGCTTTCGAAAAATCTAAAAATATTGCGTCCGTCTGCAGATTATTGTCAAGATTGGCATGCAAATCCTGAGCAAAGAGGGCTAATGGGGTCTTGCAAGCCCTTACGAAACCCATGCTGTGCAGGGTGGAAGAAGTTATTGTTGTCAAGAAAATGAATGATTTGAGAAAAGATGACATATTCCACGATTTGTTAAAGAAATGGGGCGATAGTTTAGAGGGCTGTCTTTGTTACCCGATTTGAAGACCGGAGTGACTTTCCCCATCCTCCAGTCTGCTGGTAAGTGGCCGGTGTGAATGACTGTGAGGATATCAGCGACAGAATCACTGAAGAAATGCATTTGGTGTTCTTAAGAATTTTAGAATGAATTCTGTCCACACCTGTCGAAGGAGACATTTTCAGTTTTCAATGATAGACATTATGCCTTCTGGGATAAATGTTATGCGCGACACAGAAAACAGGACACAATTCGCTAACACAGGGAAAGGCATAGGGGTCTCGTCGGTGAACACAGACGAAAAAGCAATATTGAAGAGCTCAGTGCTCTCAAAATTACCGATATCGTAACTTACTTCACTTTTCAATGTAATGCTGTGCATTTCCTGTGGATTAATTATTTTCCGAAATTTCCTGGGGTTATTAGTAAGTATCTTGGGTAGGTCTGTGTGAAAAAACGAGTGCTTAGCATAAGGCAAGCAAATATGCTTTATCAGCAACAAAGCATTTTTCCATATTAGGAGCACTGTGTTTTAGCTTGGCAGCCCGAAATAGCCGTTTTTTCTTATTTTTAAGTCTTTTCAAGGTTTTTGAGAACCATGGTTTTTGGGAAGACGTGCGAAATGAAGTTCTGGGTATGAACTTTCTTGCCAGCTCTCCTATTTTGTTTCTGAAAATTGTCTCGAATTGTCTCGTTGATTGCCTCATAGTTCCCTTTATCATACAGACTGATAGTCTTCGATTGAATTTGACTGGGCAAGAGACTGAAGTTGAAGACTGAGTGTATAACCTTATGGTCGCTGATTTCGCGCAAGTATGTAAGTGAAGAACTTTAAGAATGTGTTGTTAATATCAAGTCA